TTCCCTAATGGTAGAAACTACCCTTACTGCTTGACTGGCTTGAAAGTTACTTAGGACCTCTCTTCTTTTATTAATTTTTTAGATTTGTCCCATTCAATAATTTTATTTGTCCCATTCAATGAGTAGTTCCTAATGAATGCAACAAATGCCATGGTCTTATTAAACTCTCTTTTTACCAATACCCATATGCGGAATCAATTTTTTTGTTTTTGTTCATCATAGTACGAGAGTTAACAGTTATCAAACTATTTTCAAAGTGATTTTTAAACAAATTTATCAACCTCAAAAAATGCATTTTACGAAAACTGTCCCATTCATTAAGGTTCTCCCCTACATCTATTCCGGTTAATCCTAATTTATTTGCAAAAAGCGATTGAGGTTTTTCTTCTGTTACATTCCAGCTTTCTATTTCAGTTTCCTCCAACAACCCATCAATTTTTAGATTTTTTCTTCTGGATCTATCTTCAGATATTCTTTGTTTTTACCTGATATTTTCACTAAATGATGTTTCTTTTCTTGATTTTTCGTTTTCTCGTTCGTTGATACTGGCAATTTTTTTATCAAACAACTCCTCGTGGAAATTCAAGCTCAATTTAATATCTTCTACATCTTTAATTAATAACTTTATTTTGTTAGAATTATCATTAACTTTTTGTTCAATTTTTTCTAGTCTTTCATTGAATATTTTGGTGTTTGCATTTAAACTATCGATAACAATTTTTTCTTGCTGTTTCAATATAATCGCCATCTCACTTTTATATTCTGAAAACATTGCAGCAATTTCTTTTTTATATTCTAAAAACATTTCTTTTAGCATTTTTTGAATTTCAACAATCGTGACTGCCATATTTATCAAACTTTCCAGTTGTTATTTAATTTTATTTTGTTTTGTTCCAGTTGTTATTTAATTTTACTTTATTTTACTTACTTCCAGTTGTTATTTAATTTTACTTTGTTCCAGTTTTTATTTAATTTTACTTTATTTAAAAAAATCCAATATCAGCATAACTAAAATAAAACACTCACATATATACATATATAAATATAAGCATATATACACTAACAAATGTATAGATGCGCACATACAGTATTGGACAAAACATTTGCAACCAACAACGAACAAAGCTAAAAAGTGTTCCTAATTTTACATGTCTTAAAAACGAAACAAACTACACTACCACAGCAAACATTTCAGGAGTCTGGAGTCATAGCATACCATGACATGAGCAATCAGCTGACAGCACACAGACAGAATTTCGTCGACAAGTGCCATTTTGCAGCGGACAAAACAAATGCAACTTTTTTGGTTTGTTTCATTTTCTTAAGTCTGGTCCGTGTCAACGTCATGGAAGTTTTTTAACAATTAAAGAATGCATCCAGACGTTGTGTTCCACAGAGCATTATTGTATCATCACAAGGTAAATGTAACACGGTAAGCCTTGAGATACGTGATTATTTATTTTTATCATTTTTATGACTTCAAGTGCAAAAATGGCTCCTGAAAGTCTTGGAGAAAGAAAATTGTTGGCGATTACGTAAGTAGATTGTCACAAAAAAGTATTTGTGATAAATATCGCGTGAAAAAATGGACCGTATCAAGACTATGTTCCAAATATCGTTCTGTGGGAAAGTTGGCAGCAGATAACAAAGGTGGAAGACCGCGTTCCACAACTTCTAGAGATGATTCTATAATCGTCAGATCCGTCAAGAAGGATCCCTGGATATCATCAGTCGAGATAAAAAAGCAATTAGAGCTGCCTGTATAGGACCGAATAATCAGACGACGTGCTATTGAAGTTGGATTGTTTTCTCAACGCCCTGAAAAGAAACCGTTGATTTCACTAAAGAACCAGAAGAAAAGACTCCTGTTTGCTACATCTCATATTGACGGGAATGTGCAGAAATGGCAAACTGTCCTATTCAGTGATGAATCGAAGTTCAACATCATTGGGAGCGATGGCATTTGCCGTGTACGTCGACCTGCCGGAAAATGCCTCAATTTTTGTTACTGCCATAAGACCATGAAGCATGGTGGAGGCAATGTAATGGTCTGGGGGTGTTTTTCTGCTAACAGTCTAGGTCCATTACATCGAATCGATGGAATAGCGGACCGTTTCATGTATAAAAATATCCTGAAAGATGTTATGTTACCTCATGCTGAATGGAATATGCCAATAAAATGGGTTTTTCAGCAAGACAACGATCCGAAACACACTGCAAAAGTAGTCAAGCAGTGATTTCAAGACAACCAAGGTCGCCTCAATCTCCGGATCTCAACCCCATCAAGAACCTGTGGGAGATTGTCAGCCGCAGAATTAATCGTGAAGGTATTCGTAATTAGTATCAACTGTTTGAACAAATCCAAAAGGCCTAGGCAGCGATTCCACAAAGTTTCATTGATCACCTAATCGAACCTATGCCTCGAAGATGCAAGGCTATGATCGACAACAAAGGGTTTGTAACGAAATATTGATAGCGAAATACAGCTTCGTCAACATTTTGTGGAGTTGCACTTGTTTTGCGCAGAAGGAAATCAACTTTTTTTAATACTTTTGATTAATTTGTTAATTTTCGTGTACAAATAATGATGAATAAAACTTGAAGAACGTTGTCTCTAAACAGTTACATAGTTATTTCTCTAAATTGAAAAAATGCAGCATTTTTATATAAAGAAACTAAATTAGCATTATTTGTTTGTACTTGTTTTCTCCGATACTGTATATAAATTGCTAACAATGAAACATAGGCTAGGATCTAAAAGAAGATCACATGATCTTGTCGTAAGAACCTTATAAAATACAAGGAAGCAAAATAAAGACAAGTATAAATACTAAAAAATAAAGTAAAAATTAAAATAAAAAAGTAATATAATCCAAGTTGAATAACAATTTTTGAAATATTAGAAGTATCTGAGTACATCAAGTGGAAAAATACATTTTTTTAGATTGAGCTTGAAAAGGTAAATGGAAGTTTGTAGATCGAAATTCCGCAAAACAATAATATTCCATAGATGGAGTCCACGATAAGCAATGCAAAATTAATTAAATTTTGTGTGACAAAACGGCTGATTTAAAATTTTTTTTGTTTCTCATATCGTATTTGTTGTTAGGTTTGAGTTTGAAAATATTATTAAAAGCGGTAGGGGATATATTATTTCTCCATAATATACAAAACATAAAACTTTAATTACATTAAGTTCAAGTAAATTTAATAATCTCATTTCAGTAAAAATAGGTTTTACATTTTTTTACATTTATTAATTAGTTCTGAGGTGTAATTTCTTTTTAGGTTTTAACGTACTTTTTCAAATAGATATTTGTAATCTTTATATATTTTTTTCGCTAACAGGTGTTTTTGTTTTTAAATATTTAATATATAACTTCTGTTTAATTTTTGACGATTTTTTTATTCCCTTTGTAATCCAGGGACTTTTTGAGCTTTGTTGTATACCTTTGTAGGTAACTGCTGACAATGAATTCAAATCTTGGCATATTTGGTCTTTAGAAATGGTCATGAGATAAACGCTAACTTCCAGACATGGAGCTAACTCCAAACATTTGTATGTTTATACTTATGTCAAATAATGATGCTATGCAAAAAATTGCGATGCTTGGAGGCTGGGATTAAAGCCTAGCACCTATTACGCTCAGAAAATTTGGTTGTAAATTTTTATCTATATATGGGAGTGTAATTTAAAGTAGATGACATCTACATTGTAGTGTTATTCGGCTTGTGGGTAAGTGTTAAAAAAAATGTTGCGCATTTTAAGAGGTTTTATTGAAAAACACTTTGAAAAAAAGCAAGCATAAAAAATAAAATTTCATATTTCTTCTTATTTTAAAATATTATGTTAATGGACTAATATAAACTTATAAGAAATTAAAATGTTATAAAATTATCTTAATACCCTCATATTTCATTTTTATACGATTTTTTTTACAATTTTGCATTGGAAGCACTAAGCATTGCGCAGTGGGCCAGAGGTAAGCAAAACAAACTTTTATATTGGAGTAATTTCTTTTTGTAAACATGATCTAGAGACCACCAGCACTCTAAAACTGATATAATTTTTTCCCTACTCAGATTTTTGAGCTCAGTATATCAATTTAAATACAAAAATCTACCCTTAAAACAATGTGTGCACTTTTATTTCATAGCGAAGTTAGAAAATTGTTTGTTACGCATAAAATATTAAAAACTAAATAATTGCGTTTTTAAATACTCTTTAAAAATAATTTTTTATTATGTAACTGACGATTTGTCATCTAGTAAATATTTCAATAGAAACGCTTTTAGCTTCCATAAAACTGATATATAATTGCTATAAGGGATCGTCCATAAATTACGTAATGCAAACTTTCACAATCAACGAAACAGAAAAGATCAAAGGTTTTCCTTCGCAGAGTCTTAGTTTAAATAAAAATTAATTAAAAATCGCCGCGTAAAAGAGCTTAGTATCTCCTACTTAAGTTTTTTAAATATATTTTGCATGCGTAATTTGTGGACGATCCGTAAAGTGTAATTAAATTACATATATGGTACCGTTCATAAATTACGTAAGCAAAGTTTCAAAATAAAAAAAAAATTAGAAATGATCAAAATTTCTCTCGCAGAGTCTTAATTTAAATAAAGTAGCCATTAAGTTTAATTAAAATCACCGCGCAAAAGAGCTTAGTCTCTCCTACTTCTGTTTTTAAAATATATTTGGCGAAGCGTTATTTATGGACGATCTCTATGGTTTCTATATAAAATTTTTATTTCTACATAATTTCTATATAAAAAATTAACTTTTTGTAAATATTTTTATAGAAAATAATAGATTTGCAATAGAATTTCTATAAAACATGTTTCAATATATATTATGTTACATAATATATAAGATATAATATACATGATCCACTAGTGTTTACATATTACAAATACAAGATCTATTCGTTTTAATAAGCAAACTATTTTGTTTTAGAAACACAAAATTTTCATTAAACTAAAAATCCCTTTTAAAATGATAATTTTTTTTAAAGATAAACTGAATTAGCAAATATACAATTATATAATCGTTTAATAAATAATTAAGCAAAATTAGAACTTCACAATAATTATAAATATTATAAATATAAATAACTAATAATTTACAGTATTTACAAACGAACAGTTTAAAATGTCACTGGTTTAAAGCAACTATTTTGTTAATAAGCTTTTGACAATGCCGACTTCCATTTAAGCTTATATTACTTCGGAACGATGACATACGTGAAATGGTTACACTACCAGAACTAGATTGGTCAACTAACTGATTTAGTTTGCCATGAATATCTAATGCCAATAAAATCTAGAAGAAAAAGAAAATATCGTGGCGGTAAAAATATATTTAAAATATGTAATAAAATAGATAAATAAATAATGATACAAACCTTTTTACATTGAGGATTCCTAAAATATAATCTAAGAGCCCACAAAGCCACTTCTTGAACGTTAGTATCGTTATCGTTAAATGCCAGGTCTAGTAAACTAGAAAAAAAAACTACTAATAAACTTTATTTATACCAGTCTTTAATTTTCGAATTCTTAAAGTTTCATAACAGCGCGTATTTTAAAACCAACTTTAAGTTAATCAGCTTTAAAATATTAGCTGAAGTTGAAATTTTCCTATACACGATAGCCTTGATTTTAGGAGATAAATACATTGCTTTGATCCCTTATAACAATATGTGCACTTTTATTTCACAGCTTAGTAAGTACTTTGTAACAAAGTAACATTACGCATAAAATATTAAAAACGGAATAATTGTGGGATAAAATTGATAAAACAGTTAAACAAGAATTTACCAAACTTCTGCTACAACAAAGTATAATTAAATTAATTATAACTCATAATATTCTTCTTAGAACAAATTTTGACTGTGAGTAAAGTAGGTAGTTCATGTTTTTTTGTTTTGTTATTTGAGTACTTGACACAAAATCATTTAATGTACGTGAAGCTGTCACAAACATGAATAGGTGCAGAGTGTAATATTGTAACTCACTTTAACTAGTGCAAACGTAGTTGTTATTAGCAATTGTGAAAAGTGTACAATTACTATTTATTAGTTTGTAAAAAGAACAACTGTTTGCAAGTTAGCAAGATAAGTAACATATATATACGAACCTATCTGGGACTTTATGTTCCACCAATAGAGGAAAAAGTGCCGGCGAATGTCTAACTAAATTGCCAAAAGTACCTGATAAAAACAGTTTTAAAGTTAATAACTTTTTCATTATTTCTATTTTAAACAATAAATAAACCAAGATTACTTGCAATATTCAAACGGACTTTTGCAACTCCATCCTTCATCAAATGACAAAATACTGGAATCGCAAAAGATAACTGACTATACAAGCTGTCATTGTGATAAGCCAAATTTCCACACAAGAATGAGCAAGACTAAAATAAACCACAAAAGCTGAATTACTGAGAACAAAATTATATAAAATTTAAAAAAAATCATATGCAAACCTTCCTAAGAGAAGCATCTTGATTTTGAAGAATTGATAACAGAAGAGGAATCAATTTATAACTAAACATTTAAATAATTAAGTACTAAAAAGATCAAATACAAAATAATATATAGAAAGATCTATACAATAACAAATTTTAATTAAAAATTGCCACATCTGTTTTTTAAAATAACTTTATTTCAAAAAAAATTAATATAAACAATAACATAAAACTTTAAAAAAGAAAAAAATTAATATAAACAATATAAAAATTAAGCTAATAATAATAAAAAAAAATATCATAAATATTATAACTATCATCATTGTGATAGTACTGAATAAATGGGACCAACCGCTTAATTATACAGTTATTGTGATTTACTTTGTGTTTGATATCCATTCCACTTGGTCAAGGATTTTATTTAAAAGCAAACTGTTTAATCTGAAGTTGTTGTCAATATTAAAATGAGAATTTTTATAATTTTGTAATAACTAATTTCTGACAAACTGCAAGTGACTGTATGAGAGTTCTATTTGCTCTTTTTGTTTGCAGCAACAAGCCATTGCCATTGTTTTACAACTACAAACATTTTGTAGCTTTTCTTAGTAAACTCTTCACATTTTGAAATAACATTTTTAAAATTAGAGCCCTCTTTTTTGCAGTGTTAATTAAAAATATTTAATTGTTTTCTTTTTTTGTCTATTAAACGTTTTTATTTTTATTTTTTGGGATATGCCTAAAAACAGTTGATCTGGAGCAAATTGCTCAAAAGCAGTTTGTCAAAAATAGTTTTTTTAATGTTCTTGTTAAAGTATTTGAACAAACATGATATAAATTTTGATCAGTTTTTTTGTTTGTTTACAATATAAATTTCTCAGAAAAAATAATATAAAAAAAATAATGAACTTTTGTGTTATGAGTATTAATTTTGTGCCAATTTTTATTATTATATACATTTATGTTTTTTATATATATGCATTTTTTATTAAAAATTATATCATTATTTCTATGATTATGTTATTATTTTATTCTCATTATATTTAAGACAAAATTGGTTACCGTGCAATTGGTTCATATAAGTAACTAGAATGACGTAGTAAATTCCCAATCAAAGTACAGGTACGCGCAACAACTTTTGAATCTTTATGGCTTAACAAATCGAACAATGAAGAAAAATCTAAAAATATTTAGAAACAAATTATTTCAAAATTTCAATTTCTTTATGTAATCTTATTCTGAGCACTTAGATATGCATGATGATGTCACTAATGATGTCATACAGAAATAGAGATGATGTCACTGATGATGTCATACTGAAATAGAGAACTACTCTTAACTAAAGGTTAAGATTAAATTTCAATACTTTATGAAAAATGAGTATTGAAATAGTTGGCATAGCTAATATCCAAATTTTTCAACATTTTTTGTAAATTACTTTTGGAATAATTGAGAAGGGTGCAACCTAATATAAATAAAAATGTTAAGAAAAGTTTCCTATTTTTTTACAAGTTTTTAAGAAAACTTTAAAACATGATGAGACCATGATGGAATGAAAAAAGTTAAAAAACAACCAGCCCATGTAAATTTTAAATGAAAAATTATATGCTCATTTTAAAATCATTTTATATCAAGGTTATTTTCATTAAATTTATATATCAAGAATATTTTCTTTTAAAGTTAAACACAAGGAATAAACATTTTTTATATTTTAAAATATTTTGACAAAACACACTTTGAAGAAAATAATATACATCAAAAATTTCTTATGAACAAAATAAATTTTAACTAACTCATGCTAAAAGTTTTTATTTGCAGAAACTCGTTCATTCATATTTATATATTAAGGGATTACAGTTGTGAGAAAAGTTGGTATTATATTCTGGTCGGCATTAATAACCAGTCACTACCAAAGTTATGATATTGAAATTGAAAGTAAGTTTTTTAAATATCAACACTTTCAAAAGTTCAGTATTGAACGGTATCATTTGATAGTGTAAACTTAAATTATCGTGACTATTAAAAGAACTAAAAACCTCTTTTGGTCAGCCCACCTAAAAACAACTTGCTATTTACAGTATTTAAACCCATTAACTTTACAAATGCTCCACTTAATTGGCAAAATATCAGTGCCATACATCAATAAACAATTTTGATGAGAAAAAAAAAATGATTTATTGAGCTCCAATTTAAAGAATCAAAAAAAGTATTTTCAAATGATGTTTTTATTTAAAGCAGAAAATTTTAATGAAAGTACAAATTAAAGTCTTCATCAATGTTCTGCTCGTCTTCTTAATAACCAGTTCTTAATAACAGCGTTTAAAATATTTTGTTTAATGTAAACAAGTTTTTCAACTGTGTCTGATTTTAACAATGTTCATTTGCACAAAAGAATGTTTCCTGCTTGTGAAAACGCTCTCTCAGATGACATTGATGATGCTGGAATACACAAAACCTTTCTGGCTACTCCTGCCAAAAGCATCCTCCTGCAGCACTATCAGAGACACATGCCATTTTGCAATCTGGTATAAAAGGTATTACACTGATGATTGTATCTGTTTTGAGAGCAATGTTATCTCCAGTGTGTCACTCAGCCAAAAGCATCCTCCTGCAGCACTATCAGAGACACATGCCATTTTGCAATCTGGTATAAAAGGTATTACACTGATGATTGTATCTGTTTTGAGAGCAATGTTATCTCCAGTGTGTCACTCAGGAAATGCAACATATCCAAGCAAAAAGTACTTCATAGTTGGAAAGTGCAAAAAATAATCATAGTTGGAGTTTATGTAGTGCAAATTTAAAGCAGCATATGCATCATTGTTTCTACAATCTGATACAACAGATCTGTTGTGAAACCAAAAACATCAACATTTGCTTAATCCTTTTTCATAATAATCAAAATTGCCTCTCTGATATTTTGGTATAAAATGGGTAACTTGCTCCTTGAATATGTGGAAGGTGCTTTAAGATTAACTTCAGGCATTGCGAAACCAATCTTTGAACGCATCAGAAGCAACATGTGTAAATGGTAAATTTGACACGCATAAATATTTCATGATTGTCTGCTATGAGCTGTCGCTTATCATTTGAGGAAAATTTTGTTTTTACTTTGCAATAAGATTTTTTTACCTCCTTCAACAATCTGGGCTTGACTTCCATTTTTATCCGCAGCTTCACCAATTGTTTCCACTGCCAATGCTTCAGTTGTAGTTTCAGATAATCGCTTTTTTCTGTCATTTTCAATACTGTTAAAAATGTCTTTGTGGTAGCCTCAAAGATGAAACTTTAGTCCCGTGGTGCTACCTAGCTTGGTGCTAATTTTTGATGGGCACTGTTTGCATTGGGCAACATCTTTGCCGTGAAAATCTTTTTAAAAGAATTCCCAATAAGGACATGCTCTTATCAACTCTTGAGAATCACTTTCTTTAAAACAATAAAATAATGTTCTCACAATTTTAGACAGATCTGTAAATTTTTAAAAGAAATAACCTCGCTTTTCATGGTGACTTTGCATTTAATCGAATTATGGAGGTTTTCAAATTAAGGAGATTCGAATTAGAGAGACTACTGTATAATTCAATTTTGATAAAAATTTTAATAGAGAATTATTTTAAATTAAATTTACACTATTTAATTTAAATAAATTATCAAATGTTTAGGTAAAATTATTAAAGTTTTTTAATTTAGGACAAAATATTTTTAATTAAATTTATTTCAAAAAATTTGTATTATTATTATTACCAATTTTTTTTTTGATATTGAGTTTGATAGTGGCAAAAGGGACTTCAGTAATGATAGGAACAATTTTCATTATTGGAAAAAATGTTTTCACTTTCAAACACTCAATATTGGAATTGAGTTTTTTGATATCGCACTTTTAATATCATTACTACTGATAGTTCGGTATTTTTTGATACTTCAATAGTTCGGTAGTGATCTTGCAATACCTTAATATATGTATATATATATAATATATTTAAAAAAAAAAAAAAAAACTGAAAATAATATAAATTGTGCGTATATATATAAATATATGTATATATATATATGCAACATTTAAACAAAGTTTTTTTGTCACCTCAAATTTGAAACCATTAAACTAAATGTAGATTAATAATGGTTGTTTTTATAGTTTTTCAAAATGCCACAAAAATAACAACTTCAATGACTAAACTTTTATATTTTTTGATAGACTTTATTATTTTAAAATTTTTTAAACCAATTTTCCTAATTTGTATTTGCAAATTAAAATACAAAGTGAAAATACATCAACTGATACTGCCAAAGTGCAGTGGAGTTTACATACATTAACTAATGGCTTTGGTTTAGGTATTTTTACTAAATGATAATATTAATACTATAACATATATATTTACATATATATATATATATATATATATATATATATATATATATATATATATATATATATATATATATATATATATATATATATATATATATATATATATATATATATATATATATATATACAGTCACGATCAAAAGTTTGGAACATTGTATAAAAAAACACAATTTTCATTAAATTGTTCATTTATTTTATCAAAATATATTAGTAATCACGATAATTGACAAAAATAATAACTTTGAACTATTAGTAAAGGTTTTATGAATTTAATACTTGAATTTAATATTTGGTATGGTGTCCTTGAGCTTTCAAACAATTAGCTAAGGGGGTAGGCATAGAATGAATGAGTTTTCTCAAATATTCAGGAGTCATAAGTTGAGTCCATAACTGGCAAACGGATATGCTTTTGCATAACGATGCATACGATTATCTGCCTTTTTCTAGCTTTGCTTTTAAAATCACCAGTTTCATGATATCTCTTTAATGTTTTTATAATACAGCTATGTGTTACATTAAAACATGCAGCAATAGAAGTCAGTGTCAATCCTTGTTTATGTAGAATAACAATCTGAGCACGTTTTTCTGTTGTTAATTCATTAGTTCTTCCCATAAATATTATTTTATTTTTTTGCTAAAGTAACAACAAACTATGACTAAAATAAATTTAAATGTTTATAACATAAATTATGTATGCATATTAATGCATATTAATACTCAAAATTTTCAATTAAAAACAAACATATTTAAACACATTTTTCAAATTTTATGAAAATTTTTTAAATGTTCCAAACTTTTGATTGTGACTGTACATATATATATATATATATATATATATATATATATATATATATATATATATATATATATATATATATATATATATATATATATATATATATATATATATATATATATATATATATATATATATATATATATATATATATATATGTATTTGCATACTTTTTTGGCCAACCTAAACCCATACAGTTTTTTTTGCGAAAAAAAACATACAAAACAAATCTGTTTAAAACAAAACCATCAGTCAATGTAGCAGCAACTCCCTTGCATGTTCTCTTTATATAGTCAATGTATGCACTAAAGCCCTAAGCAACCCCTTTTTTCAGTATGACTTCAGAGTGCCGATCTGAGTATGCTCTTATATGTGTGCATGTGTTTATATATAAATTACTATGAAAATATATATTTACCACTTTTATTGGATACAAAAAGTTGAACAATTAAAGCAATATAATCAGATGAATGTCTGGACATATGACTCAAAGTGGCAAGAAGATCACATAAAACACCAATGTCACCTTGAGCAACTAAAAGGTCTTGTACCACCTGATTGGTGTCTTGAGCAGATAGTAGTAATTGAAGTTGCGGAACAAACATTTCATCAGTTATAACCAAATGAGCAATTAAGCCGGACAAAGTCCCAGAGCAACTCGGATATGTTTTATTTAACAGGAGCAAAGACTTTAACAAAAAGCATTTATGAAATAAACATAAAAGACGATACATAACAGATAGATCAATATCTAATGTAAATACAATGCAAAGCAAATTAATTATGTTGTGATAAAATATATCTACATTTACTTTCAGGAAAATACATTTATTAGAAAATCTATGCGAAGACCATTTATTTATATAATCCGGTCTTAAGCTTACACTTAAGACAAAGTACATATTGTGTATAGCAATCTCTGATAAACCAAAAAGACTATTTGGTCTTTTATATACTAACCTTTGCAGTAAATCAACTAATAAAAATAAACAGTCAAAAGATAATAAATTCCAGGCAAACAACTCAATGTTGGGTTCAATGTTTTCATTATCAGTATTCTGTCCTATAAAATATTCTATCAAGGATACTACTTTGTGAAAAACTTTAATTTCATTTGTGTTTACAATTTTTTCGAGTAATAGTACATAACCATCATACTTTCCATGAGATAGTGGAAGTGCAACATCCTGTGTGTCAAATTCATGGGTTAACAAATGTTCAACTAAACTGTTTTCAATTTGTAAATCAGTAGACATAGACATTAAAATCCATATGTATGAGATTTGTGAGGAATCAGCATTTTTATCAGGGTATAAACAACCAGGGTATAAATAACTTGGCAAGCTAAAAACAAAAAATGAAAAAATCACTCAAAAATTTTATTTAATCAAGTCTTTTTCTTAAATAACTTTGTTTCATTATTATTTTTTTTTACCTTTTTTTAATCAAAATGTTTTTAATAAAATTTTAATAATTCAATAATAGAAATTCAATAAAAGAAATTTCCAAAAACAAAATTTATTCATAACTGCACAAGAAATTAAAAAAGTTAAAAGCCATGAGAATTGAATTAATCAGAGAAACCGATTATTTGCACACAAATTGCACACAAATAAAAAAACACAAAATTAAAAAAAAATTTTTAGCAAATCAGAAAATATTAGAAAATGTTGTTTTATAAAAAACAACATTTTCTAATATTTTTTAATTCACAATGAAGCATTAGACAAAATGAATATCTTAGTTCAAGAACAGTTTCACCATAAACACAAGTCGCCAAAGACATTTCAAAATAAAATATTAAAACATATAAAAACATAAAAAAATGACCTTCTATATATATATATATATATATATATATATATATATATATATATATATATATATATATATATATATATATATATATATATATATATATATATATATATATATATATATATATATATATATATATATATATATATATATATAAATCAATGGAATCTACAACATTAAGATCATTGCAACAAAAATGAGAAATAAAATTTTAGATTTTGTTTTTCAGTTTAAATAATTGGATTTTCTAAAAAATTTGGTAGAAAACAAAGAAATGTCAATAATTAAATCATGTCAAAATGTGTGAAAACTTTTAAGCTAATTTTAAACATTTTTTATAACACAATCTAATTGATGCAACATAGACTACTACAAAACCAAATAGCTTGACTTGAAAAATAGCTTGAATTGTAACTATTTTGCTATTAAAAAATGATAAAACTATGTATGAATTCTAGATTCTAGCCTGAACATGCAATGATGTGTGGTTCAAAATAATGGATACTCAATAACAATAAATAAAAAGAATGTATAACTTCCAAGTGGTTAATGAAACCCAAACAAATTATTTATTGGTTATAGTTATCACTTTATTGTTGACATACTGAAGAATGGCAACACTCTTACTGAGTCATCTACTTAATGCATTATTATTATTGGATTATTATTCACTACTGACATCTCATGGAAACCATATATACAATACATTGCAAAGCAATCTAGGTTGCCTTTCTTTATTGTACTTGTCATTACCTTACTCTCTCTCTTTCCGCCTATTACCCCTACTAATCTTTTATTCGCCCATGTATCATGAATACTCTTGTCATATTTGGGCTAGTTCTTCTAATGCCTCTTTATTAGACAAGATCCAATAACATTTTGTATATGTAGTTGAACCTAATAGTCTAGCTACCAAGCTTTAGCCTCTGTCTTTTTATTGTAATGTTGCATCTTTTTCTTTTCTACAAATACTCTTATGGTTGCCTCAGACAATTTACAATTTTTAAGTCTTCTGTCAACCATTTTTTTACTTTAACAATATTTTTTGTTTTCTGGTAACTCCTCATTAAAATAATGGTTGGTTGCAGTCTTGCTGGTAAATTTGTTATTGTTAAGTAAATTAGCTAAATTAATATTATTTACCTAAATATTCAAGAAACTTTATCTGAGAAATATAGGCAAATCTAGAAGTGATGTCTTCAAATTTTCTTCATTTTTTAGATATTTTGTAGAAAATAATGAAATTAGGCCACTGTTAATTTTTTTTTTTTAAATCTCCTATTAACTGGGGAGATTTTGGGTCTTGAAATTTGGCTCATTTTGTAAAAATATTTATGCATGGAGTGCAAATGCTGCTTTGAAAAATAATTTTAGCAACATGAATTTAAGAGACGCATTACTTTTCTATTTTAGCTAATTTGGGTAGATTTCTGAAGTAAAAATTAAAATTTAATTTGGTTACACTTTTCCTTGTCTAGAAATCACAGTTCAAAACCGCAAAATTTGAAATTTGCAGCTTAGCAGCTTTCAAAAACAATTAAGAAATTCATGTGCAAGTTATGGCCTTAGGAGATATAAATGATGAAAATACAAAAGTACATGTAGTACTTTTGTATTTTCATCATTTATATCTTAGATCTTAGTAAAAGAGATTTAATACTCAAAAATAAAATATTATAGCGTTATGACATACTACACTTTGAATTATTGGATAAATTACCACTGCACATTATGTTCAATAACAACTCAATCACCAACTAACTTCTTTGCTATCACCTGAATATTGTCATTCAAACCATCATCGTTATTTAGAGTTGCATATCTCGCATTATTATTTGCACCAATCCTGTCAACAGCTAGATTAAACTCATCACAAAAAATAATTACCAGCTTTCCTGTTCTTTTTTTTGTACTCTAAAAAATATTCTCGAAGCAGAAAGAAAATTGCAAAATATTTATCTTAAGTATTAATAAAAGAATAATGTCACATTTTATATATTCTTAATACATACTTTGGTTATTAGTATAAATATACAAGTTAATTTACTTGCCTTAGAGAATAATGATCAAACTTGTTGAGTTGTCACACATTTACACAACGTTAGCTTTATCCTGAGCTACTGATGAACCTGCTCTGGATTCATTTTTTTCTCATGTTCTTCTCCAGACATGAAAATCTGCCTTATGTTTTTTGCTTTGAAGAATATCTGAACACTTTTCTTCTTGGTTGCCCATCCAGTGATGTTTGTGAAGTTTTCAATCGTTTCTTTAATGAAAGAATGGGATAATAGAAGATAATTAGAAGAATTTAGGTTTAAGGTTTTCTTTTAGTTGATATAAAATAGTCTTGCTGAGAGTGTTAACGCTTCTATCAACACATAGTTTTATAAAAATTGTTGGTGCAGTATAATTTTTGCAAGTTGAAATAAAGGGCTTAACAATTTCAACCGAAGTATGGAGTGTCACATTTGTATAGTTCCATTTTTTACCTTTACTGATTCAGAAGTAACTTCATATTAATATGCGATCAAGGAAAAAACTGAAAAGAATGATAGATGCTTATTTTGGGAATCAAAATAAACATCTATCATTCTTTTCTGTTTTCTGGGTCCTGATAAAATAGCTTCTGCTTTTATTATACTATTATTAAAATAGGTTTCGGAGTCTATTTTGACTACAGCAACATTAGCATTTTGAATTTCTTTACCATCAACATCAATTAAACTCCTGATGACACATGTCACTCCTGACTCTATCACATTGATTTTTTCCACATGAAGGCAAATTGTATTTATACCTTTTACGGAAGAATTGTTTTGCTTAGCAAGCTTTATAAAGGGCTTCAAAGTAGATGCTTCCATGATAAGATGATGACTTTGTATGAAGATTTTTTGAACGAGGAAAATCATTTTTAATTTTTACCAAAACAACATCAGCCGGATAAAGTACATCAAATATATTTTTGCCAAAACAACATCAGCTGGACAAAGTACAAAAATATTTCTATCTTACTTTAGATATTACACTTTTGCCATCCCATTACTTGAACCTATTGTTAAATACTTGTTTATTACATTAACAAAGCTTAGAAAATAACTTTTATCAAGTACTCCTGCAGAGTTTTGCCATAAAAATGTCTTTTACCTTAATTTTTAATTAGAGCACTAATTATTCACGATGTAAAGGAGCCGTTGCTAAACATACCTATACCATTGCTAGGGTATCTTATAAGTTCAAAATGTAGCAAAATAAGACTACTTCTAGGACTTCTGTAGGCTTTTTATTTCTTGTATAAAATCAATATATACCTTAATAACTTTCAAAAATAATTAAGAAATTCATGTGCAAGTTTTGGCTTTAGGAAATATTAATGCTGAAAGCAGAGTTGTTAACAAGGCCAAAAATAGCAAGGCCAAGGCCACACGTTACAAGACCAAGACCAAAAGTTACAAGGCCAAGAGTTCTAAGGTCGAGACCAAGATTAAGAGTTTCAAGGCCAAGGGCTACGCAAACATTTTCAAGACTAAAGATCTCAATTTTGCCTTACGTTAAGCCCCATTATTAACAAAACTGTAATTAGCAAGTGCTGTGACAATACAACCACATTTTGTAAAAATAGACCAAGGTTATGCGCAGAATTCAACAAAGTCAATAAGAAAATTTTTTTTAAACAATAAAGGCCAAGGTCAAAATTTTCAAGGAAAACCCCAAGGCCAAGGCCAACAGTTTCAATTTTTGGCTTTACGGCAAAGCCAAGGCCAAGACCAAAGACTAATAACTCTGGCTGAAAGTACGTGTAAAATTTCAAATTTAGTGATTTTAAACCGTGATTTTTAGACAACGAAAAGTGCAACCATATAAAATTTTAATTTTTACTGTAGAAATCTACTGGAATAGCTGAAAAATAAAAAAAGAATGTGTCTCTCAAATTCATGTTGCTTAAATTGTCCTTAAAAGTAGCAAAAGCACTCCACACACTAATATTTTTACAAAATTTCGGGACCCAAAATCTTCCCAAATAATAGGAGTTTTAAAAAAAAATTCAACAACAGCCTAATTTCATTATTTTTTACAAAATATCTCAAAATGAAGACATTTTGAAGACATCACTTCCTGAATTTGCCTATATTTATCAGATACTCTTAAGAAAAAGAATAAGAATAAATTTTTTTACTGTAATACTTTAATACATAAACTGGCTACTAGTACTGCTACTGGATACCAATACTACCCCAGCCTCTAGCACTACTACTGGCTACTACTACTAACAACTACTAGTACTAATACTGGCTTCTACTATTACTGGGTAATATACCAAAAACATTAAAGGAAAAAAAAAAAAAAAAAAAAAAAAAAAAAACTTGAAAAGTTTTTTGTTTTTTAAACAATCCAAAACTCTTTCTAATGTTAATTTTTTTTCACACTAGAGGATCCCTGTAAAGTTGGCATTTAAAAAATTAAAAAGACCAGAATATATTAGCATTGTGTCAACCTAAATCTGCAATAAAGCTTAAATTTTTTTTATATCTAAATAATGTTATTTAATACAACAAATAAAACTTACCATTTTGCTTCACTTGTACTGCCCAAAACTTGTATGTACAGTTTTAATAAACTTAATTTCACGCTTTCAAATTTTGATGATGTATGACAGTTTAACATTTGTGGACATGACACAAGTACATTTTCTGCAAGAACACTCGACTCAGTAAGTAAACTCAATAATAATGTGGCATCCTCAAGATATTTATTTTCATTAAAATCTTTTATAAGTTGATCTGGAAACCATCTTAGATTTTCCTCTGTCATTTGGTCAAGAAGATCTTTACGAAACACATTATCTATTTGCAAAACAAGTAAAATTAACTTATAGATCAAAGGAATTAAAGGTGGTACTTTCATTAGAGGTTTTAATCTAAAAAACATTTTATTGACCACATCACGGGTAAGATATTGTAACACTATAAGCGCTATTGTTGGATCTGGTTTGTTTTTATTTAAAACACAATTAAGCATATTAGATTGAATGGATATAAACAATGACTTAATTTTATGCTGTTTGTCAAATGGATAACCTAAACAATAATCTGCTAATGAAAATATTTTTAAAAGTGTTTGTAGCATTTCTACATTACAAATAGAAGCAAGCAGTAACAAAATTTCTAACAAATCTTGATAACACGAAAAATACCATACTTCATTCATGTCTGTACATTGTGAAAAATACTTAACACCTTCTATCAAAATTGAACAAAGGTCAACAGAATTAATAAAAACATATTTTTGTACTTTATCAACTTTAGAATCTAAGCAATTGCAAATTATTCGTAATAGAAGTCGCAATCTGGAGGCACCTTCCAAAGTTTTAGATTTAATTTTTGTGAGTGATTTTGTAAGAGCTTCTTTAAGAGCTGAGCACACATCCAGACTTAACAATACTGCTTGTAAATCATTAATATTATTAGTTGACTTAAATGCACTTGTTTGTTCAAGCAAATTATTCCACTCATCATCACTATCAATATTCTAAAAATATATTTACATTAAAATAATAACTAAAAAAAAAAGAATAAAAACTAAAACTATTCTAATACAAGTGTGATCCATAAATTATCTCACGCTCTAGGAGAACTTGTTACTAAAGAGTTACAATGTTGTGACAAGGACGAGGAGGGGGGGGGTTAGAGGGGAGATGGAGAGAGGAAGGGGGGCAAAAACAGTAAAAAATTGTTCATGACATAATTTATGGGTGACTCCTGACTTGAAAAATACATAAGATTTAAATGTGATATACATAATGATAACATGTAGTATAAATAATTTTTACATGTCATTACATATAGTATAAGTTGTATTTACATATCGCAGTATTTCAATGTTTAATGTTTTTACATTGTGTTTAGAAGTTGCTAGTTTTAACACATACTAGTTTTGTGTATACTTAAAACAAAAAGCGCTTTGGAGGAAGACTTTCATTAATAAGTAGAAGTCAAATTACATAAAAGGACATATTAAGAACAGTTCTGCATAAATATCATTTTATAAATAAATAACTTATCTCTCCTAGTATGGTTAAAAATTAAAAAAAAAAAGGAATAATAATAACTTCAAAATCTATTGCTGACATTCATTTTAAGTTTTAAAAAACAATTTAACTAATAAAAAACCATTAAAAGCAAAAATGAGTTTTTTTCTTTCGTATTTAAAAGTATAAAGAAAAAGTTGGATTTTTAAAAAATTTAAAATATTTGTACCTAATAGAAACTTTTATTTAATTTTCACTATAGCTATAATTGAACAAATTTTACCATATGTACATGTCAAATATTCAGTTTGATGTAAAGTTATCTGCAAATGACTCTCACTTGTAGATAACTGTACACACATAAAAAGATAGATATAAATATACAACTAAACATATATATATATATATATATATATATATATATATATATATATATATATATATATATATATATATATATATATATATATATAAACATATATATATATATATATATATATATATATATATATATATATATATATATATATATATATATATATATATATATATATATATATATAATAAATGCATTAATAAAAATGTGTTATATATACATACATAAAATACTTGCTCAAATTATTAGACTCAAAAAAGAAATTTCGTTGGTTTTTTGAATTTTCTTTGATAGATAAGGGTTATTGCCATTCACTTTTTGTTGTTAATGTGTAATTTAACTTCCTGTCATTCATTTTTTGTTTTAGATTAAGAACAATTATAAAATATATATACTTATAAAATATACTTTCAACTTCATAAAGGGTAGTTTTAATAATACTAAATTAAAAACTTTTATACCATAATGAATTGCAAACTTTGTTAAGCTCCCAGAATTCATAATGGTTTCTTTATGCATATCAAGCAGGGGTACAAGTCAACTTTACATTTTACAAGGGACAAAGAAGAAAGATCAGTACAAGACTGTTCTGCAGACTACACTGATTCAACAGATATGATAGTAGTTTCCTAATGGTGAAAAAATAATTTTTATGAAACATGATGTTCCATGCCATACTGCAAAACCCATAAAGATATTTCTTGCTAATGAGAGTCTCTATCTTCTTTTCAATTCTCTGGATATGAATCCCATTGAAAATCTATGGGAGCTTGTCAAACACAAAGTCAGTATTGACATAATAACAAGTAAACAAAAGCTTATATATAACTTAAACAAAAGTTTACATAACGACTGATTAAAGTGTGGCATCAAGTTCCATATGTTAAACCATTAAGCTCAAAGGGCATAAATAGTATGACAAGGCGCATCAAAGCTTAAAGGACTCAAAACCAAGTTTTAAGTTTCATGTTTTGTATATATCAATATATAGAATATATAACAAAAAAACTAATTTATGAGTCTAATAAATAGAGCAGCTACTGCATATATATATATATATATATATATATATATATATATATATATATATATATATATATATATATACATATATGTATACAGGGCTTGAATTAGGCATATCGCGATTGCTTTTCACAGCTTCGCAATTATTTAACAAAAAATAATAATATTTTAGCAATTTTTTTTTTTCTTTTTCTAATTAGTATTATTTTTACAAACTTTTACTTTTAAAAGAAATGTTTTTGTCTAATTTTTTTTTTATGAGTAATAAAGTACGTCATACTAAATGTATCTTTTGAATAGAAGAATGATCACTTACTCTCTTGCACGAAAATTTTTATCCAACATTAAAGCGCTTTTGAATTTAAATTACTTTAAATCTCTGCGTAGAACCCAATAATATTTTAAAGTTATATTGAGTTTGATTTACTTATAACTAAGTCAAAAAAATAATAACCTTTTACCTATAAATTATTTTAACAATTAATCTCCAAAAGATTATGAAAATTTCTTTAATGCAAATGAAAATGATATTCAAATTGCGACATTAGAATAATAGGGTTCTATCTACATTTTTTAATGTTGTGAGACTTTAACTTTCGATTTTTAATTATTTCAATATTTATTTTAATTATTTTGATATTTAATTATTTTTAATAATTAAATGTTTTATAGTTGTTGTTGTTTATATTGATAAAATATATATTTTTTATGTTATTTATGTTTTATAATTAATTTTACATTATTAATTTCATACTTTTTAAAATTGCTTGACTTCAAATTAATTGTTTATTTCAACTTTATTAAATAAGGTTGAAATTGACAATGAAAAAACAAAAAATAACAATTTTTATGTTATATAAATAATAAAAAGATTAATGTATTAAAATTATATAATTTTGAACACAAAAAAAATATTATAATTAAAAACAGAAAACTAAATTTTTTTACCATGAAAATTATAGAATATAAATGATAGAACCTTATTATTCTGATCTACAATACGCTATTATCTTATACTAATTTATATTGCTTAATATATAATAATTTTTTTTTGCGTTAGTTTGAGCCCTGTGTATATATATATATATATATATATATATATATATATATATATATATATATATATATATATATATATATATATATATATATACATATATATATACATACATATATATATATATATATATATATATATATATATATATATATATATATATATATATATATATATATATATAAAAATATATATAAATATATATATATATATATATATATATATATATATATATATATATATATATATATATATATTTACATATCTTTAAAAACCTTACTTCTTCTCTTGTGTCTTTTTTGCTAGTCTTTTTGGAACTATAGTTTGCTAATAATCTATCATTTTCAGCTTCTCTCCTAAAGTCAACACTTATTCCCCACTCATTGTTTGAAGATATAGCAACTAAGAAAAGTTTATTAAAAATTAAAAAAATTCAAAGTTATATTAGGATCTAACTAAAATAACTAGCGTTGTTTATTTATTGTTGGTTTGTTGTTACCTGTTTTATGGGTCCTAAATGCTAATTTAAACAAGCACTAGCAACTAACTTTATTCAAACAGACTAGAAAAACATTGATTAAAAATATATATTATTTTTAGTCTGACAGGGTGGCCACACTTTTTTTGTCTGTAAATATTAGGATAATTTAGGATAATATAAGAGATTTTAAAATGTTTTTAAGAAGATTTATCAGGAAACTTGAAAAAAAAAGGATAAAAATCTTAGGATATTTTAGGAGGATTTCAAAAATAAAGTGGCACAAAAAAATTTTATTTTATTTAAAAACTGTAAGAATATCTAGCTAAAATAAAGAATATCTAGATAAAATTAGGGGCCAAACACTGTTATTTAAAATAATCTGATACCTCTACACACACTAAAATAATAACTTTTTTTGCTGCTGTAATTTTTTCTAGTAAGTCCAGCTTTTCAGAGGCAACTCTCTTTAGCACATTAGATTTTAGGAAACTTGAAAAAAAAAGGATTAAAATACCAGCTAACATATTATTATCCAGAGGTTGGTCGTTTATACTAAATCCACGCTCTACTTGTGCTTGGCTATGGGACAATATTAGTAACAATTGGTAAATTTTCATTACATCCTTGAGTCTTGAAGCATCTGTATATTTAACCAAAAAAAAATCCAATCTATCACTTTCTTTTTGGAACCTAAGAAATTTTTCCTTGTTCACTTTTACAACAGTAGTTAAAAATTGTGAATACTGTAATTTGGCTTGATCAGCAACTGAAGGTGATACCTTTTTATAAGCAACTAATTTCAATAACAACTTGTCAAAATAAAGTTCACACATTTCATTAGATTCAACCATGTATAAAGGTGGTAAACATAATAAGTATCTGGCTAAGTACGAGTTTAGAGCACTTTTTTCAACCATATGTTTGCACGTTGTAACTAAAAACTGTTGAGCTTCTGTTTTAAAATTATAGATTTGTGCATCAGTAACTTTTTTCTAGATTTCAGTTGCTGCAACTCATATTTTATTCCAAACCCAAGATCAATATTTGCAACCAACACTTGATTTTTGACATCACTGATATTAACTTTTAATAATTTAAAAGTTATGGATGCTTTAGACAAAACTTTATTTTTGATAAAATTTTGATAAAAATAGCCTCAGTATATTCTCAAGTGTTTCCACAAGAAAATGTGTCATAGGTTTGTCGGTTTGGAAAACTAACAAAAAAGAATTTAACAATTTTGCAGTTTCCTTAAAAAATTGCAACTTTATAGGGACTAACTCATCTTTATAGCATGAAGAAAGGTATTCATTACTAGTATTTTGCCCAGGCTTACATTGACCATGTTGCTTGCTTTTTGGTAAATTTTTCCAAAAGTCAATAATCACAATAATCTTGGGCCATTTCCATCGCTCAATTTGCTACTTTCTCATTTTCAATCCAACGATGGCTACAGAACTGTAGAGCATAGTCTGAAGACTAAGCTTGAGTAAGATTTTTGAAATCAGCACGATGAAGGGCTCTTATGGAATACCTTATACAATAAAGACAGCAATTTGTTCAATTTCCATCCTGAAGCATTTGTACCATTCTTGAATGAACAGTACATTGTGTGAAGCCCACATCATCCAATTGATACTAACTGACTGAGTTCACATTCACTTCTCTTAGCATTCAAATTAGAGAGGAAAGACATGTTAACATTTAGACCATCCATGAAAACCTGGAGTATTTTATCTTCTTCTAAATCACTCATACATTTACGGAAATTTATCATAATATCGACAGCAGCAACTTTTCCCTAGAATTCAGAGTTGAAATATCTTGTTTTTACCATCTCTAAGGAGGAGTCCCAATATCTAACATGCAAATCCATCTGACTTTTCTTGACAGCTTGGTTGTAAGATTTATTAAATTGGAAAACAAACTGATTAAGCTCTGATGTCTCACATAAAATTTCCTTAAAATATGGTGCAATTTCAAAGCACACAAGATAAGTTGTTTAGCTATTTATTTCAAAGCACACAAGAAAATTGTTTAGCTATTTGACTATCACTAAACATTGCAGTAAATAATTCAGATTTGTTTGCACCTGATCGAAAAGAATGTTTTGAAAGCACAGCATCAACTGCCCACATTATCTCTGCTTTCTTTGCTAACTGTGACTCTGCAATAAATACAATAGAAGCTTGCTGTGGACACAGTGCTGCTTTTGGGCTAGTTGGTGGTTCTACAACAGTTTTCAATGCATATTTATCACAGACAGGCATATGTTGTTTGCGTTTATTACCATTAGCATGTTTTTTCAATGCCTTTGTACCCAGACCTGCAACAGAAATGACTTTCAAACATACCTTACATTTTACCGAATACAAATCGTTGGGGCATTTTTGTACCCATTGTTTATAATTATTGTAATTTAACCAATGATCTTGAAATTTAGTTTTATATTTGACTGACCTTTTCTAATCTAAAAATACAAAAATATTTAGGTTAACTTAGTAACATAAAAATGTGAATAAAAATAATTTTAATTCCAAAAATTGCCACTGACAGAAATAAGAAAAAAATAGAGCTAGAAATTAGAATAAAAAAGTATAAAAATTTTAAGTGTTTCGGGATTAGAAGTTTTGACGCTGATTTTTTCTAATGTAACTATAACAAACAGATACGATCACGTACATAATTGCTGTTTCTGCGGGAGAGTGCTTTTGTTTCTGGTACATATCTGAGTTAGCTTTTAGAACCAAAAGATAATATAAACCCAACATTTTTTTATAATATATTAAATAAATTCATACATAGATAAATAAATTAATAAAATGAGTATGTGAAAAAACTACATTTTGTGAATATTATTCATTAACATGTATTTTCGATGTGTTTGCATCTAGACCTGCAACAGACCTAACCTTCAAACACATAGTACATATAACATTCAAAAATATATGTTTTTTTAATGTATTTGTATCCAGATCTGCAACATATAAACTTTTAAACATACAGCAATCATCTAGGTTATATTTGAAAAATTCAGAAAATATTTTGCAAAAAAAAAATTAACAAATGTTAAACAATGCAGAATAATTTATTTTATAAATTTAGCATTTGGCTGGTTGCTTTCTCAACTTTATGATAAGTGATAATTGAAAAAGTTAACAAAAAAAAGGTATTACAAAATTATATTTTTAGAAAAAAACTTATGGCAAAAAGGAGTAGTTAAAAGAAAGATATCTGGAAATAAAAAAATCATCAAACATACCTAACATAATACTTAACCAAATAAAAAATTTTTATATTTATTGTCTTTTAACCACTTTTAAAATTTAGCTTTATATTTGACTGACATTTTCTATTCTGAACGTACAAAATTAGGTCAACTTAATTAAAATAAAGTTTTAAAAAAAAAATTTTGATGTTCAGAACTTAGGCAGAAATAAGAAAAAAAAGCTTAAATTTTATTAGAGTAAAATTTTTAAATTAAAATATTACAAAATATTAAATTAAATATTTGAGTAAATTATATTCTGTCAGTAAATAATAGCACTAACTCCTAGTCTGATCTATTTCATTAACATTAAAAATTGTTAATTGGCTGATAATAGTTTATGCATTATACTCAGGACAAATAAATTAGGAGAATTTAGGAGTATTTGAGAAAATCACTTATACTTTAGGAGAAAGTAGGTCTTTTTAGGATGTTTTTCAAATATTAGGACATTTTAGGATTTTTTAGGTGTGGCCACCCGGTCTGATTTAAGCTAGGTTATTCTAAATAATAAAACAAATTAATAAACCTATTTTAAAATAAGTTAGTAGAAATAATAAGTTATTATAAATAATTAGACAAGTTAATAGAAATTTAATACCAAATATCAACAACTTAAACTAAATAACATAGTTTTACATACTATTTTATAAACTAATTAATATTTTAACTATATTTTGTTAACATTTATTATTAAACATTTAATTATATTAAATTATTAAACATATAACTAATTAAACTTTTTAATTCTAATCAATTTATTAAGTTTAATCAATTTTTAACTAAATTTTAAACTAATTTTTAAATTTGATCTAAAAAATTTTATGCTAACCATTATTAAACTTATTTTTTTTTTAATTATTATTTCATTATTAAACTTTTTTTTATTATTATTTCATTATTAAACTTATTTATCTAGCTTTTTTTGTAGAATGTTTGTACATCTTCTTCATACTACTTTTTGAATTTCATACATCTGATCTTGCTTTGTTTTAGCAACTTTTTAATTTAAATAGTTTAGCCATATTTTAAATATTTTATGCAATCTTGCAATAAACAAGGATAAAATTTTGTACACTATATTTTGAGTTTTTTTTTTTAAACATCTTTTCTTAGATAAAAAAATATTTTCAAAAAAGTTGAATTAGCAGTATTTTACAATCTTCATAACTACAAACTTTTTATATGCTTAAAGGAATTTTGTTTTACTTAATGTGGTCTCTTGATGGCTGTAATGCAGCAAACAGTATATTACCAGAAAACCTCAGGGAAAAAAAAAACTTTGTAAAGAAAATCTATCAGCGGTTGACTTTTAGCATAAATTTACATCATCATTTTATTTATTAAAAAAGTATTATAAAACTTGTATTTTAATTGAAAAAACCTAAATAAACAAAAATTGTTAAAAATGATTTTTAGTTCACAATATGTAAACAAGCTATTCCAGTTTATCTAAAACTTCAGTATTAGTTTTGGTAAAAGTGAACACAACTGAACAACCGAAATTGGTGAAATTTTTTCAGTTGTGAAATTTTTATCAGATCTGATATTAATTAATTCTTCTAAACCCAATTGTTAATAAACTTTTAAGTTAGATTTTTAAATTTGCTTAAAAAGATCATAATAGTAACATTTAATGGAAATAAAATAGTTTAATAAATTCTAAAAGTTAAGACAAACAAAAACAGGTCAAAAAAACAGTAAGCAAAGCAACAACGGCAAATAAACAGGTAAAAAAACAGTAAGCAAAGCAACAACGGCAAATAAACAGGTAAAAAAACAGTAAGCAAAGCAACGATGGCAAATAAACAGGTCAAAAAACAGTAAGCAAAGCAACAACGGCAAATAAACAGGTCAAAAAACAGTAAGCAAAGCAACAACGGCAAATAAACAGGTAAAAAAACAGTAAGCAAAGCAACAACGGCAAATAAAGAGTGTTTTTCTAAAATAAGCTGTTTTTAAAAATTTAGTTTTTTCAACATTCTAATTCTCTAATGAAAAAGGTTTTAATAAAAATTTAACAATGTTAGTACTTACAGTCATTTCTTAAAATTTATTTTCAAAACCCTTATTTTCAAAATCCTTTTTAGAGATTCTTTTTAAATATTTTGAGAAAAACGCAAATATTTAAAAAAATAATAATATAAGGAATTCTATGTAAAACATTTTCTGAAACTAATAATTTTACAAAAAATTTTATTTAACAATATTTGAAGGCATCTAAATTTTATTTTGTAAAAAAGTCTTTTTTATGTTAAGGTGTTTTCAAAAATGGCTGCAGAGTATGAATAAAATTTTTTTTTATTATTTTCATTTTCGATTTCAAAACAATTAAGATTCAAAAAATATTTTGCCTAATAATTTTATTTTTTTTAAATCATGTAAAATGAGACTTAGCAAGAACAGAAAGAATGTTAAAAATGTAAAAAAATTTATTTTGGAGTTAAAAACCCCAAAAGTGGCCCCTTCAGCCTTGGGGAGGTGGTTATAGTTTAAAAAAAAAACTATACCTTGTGATGCAGAATTGGACTTTTTTAAAATTCTATTTTTCAATCTGTCTCCTGGAGTCTCAACTAGTTCATCTTCCTTCAACTTAGGTAAAAACTGTCTTTTCTTTTGCTGATGCTTTTGAAGGCGATCTACCCAGGTTGGGCCATCACCTTTTTGTTCAACCTAAAGTGTATTTTAAAAATATATCTAATATTTTTTACAACAGAAGATATAAATCAATATATTGGAGTCATATTGTTCAATTTAAGCATCAATTTTTATGACAGAAGATGTAAATGTCAGTGTATATGTTAGAGTCAGGCTGATTTATCTAAACAAGTTTAAAAACAAATATACTATAATCACAAAAACAAACTAACCTTCATTGCTCTGGCAACATCAACAGCGGTCTTGTCATCAAATTTTTTATTTCCCAACGAGTCAACTAAAATAATAACACTTATCTCTATAATTATAAAGCACTTTTCTCTATAATTATTATTGATAAAATATAATATTATTAATAATATAAGTATTAATATAATAATAATATAAGTAATATACAGTATCGCACAAAACAAGTGCAACCAAATAATGCTAATTTAGTTTCTTTATATAAAAGTGCTGCATTTTTTCAATTTAGAGAAATAACTATACAACTGTTTAGAGACAACGTTCTTTAAGTTTTATTCATCACAAAGTTCATTATTTGCACATAAAAATTAATAGATTAATCAAAAGTATTAAAAAAAGTTGATTTTCTTCTGGACAAAACATGTGCAACTCCACAAAATGTTGACAAAGCTGTATTTCGCTATCAATATTTCGTTACGAATCCTTTGTTGTCGATCACAGCCTTGCATCTTCGAGGCATAGATTCGATCAGATGATCAATGAAACTTTGTGGAATCCCTGCCCAGGCTTTTTGGATTTGTTCAAACAGTTGATACTAATTACGAATACCTTCACGATTAATTCTGCGGTCGACAATCTCCCACAGGTTTTTGATGGGGTTGAGATCCGGAGATTGAGGCGACCAACCCATCACCGATAGGTGGTTGTCTTGAAACCACTGCTTGACTACTTTTGCAGTGTGCTTCGGATCGTTGTCTTGCTGAAAAACCCATTTTATTGGCATATTCCATTCAGCATGAGGTAACATAACATCTTTCAGGATATTTTTATACATGAAACGGTCTGCTATTCCATCGATTCGATGTAATGGACCTAGACCGTTAGCAGAAAAACACTCCCAGACCGTTACAGTGCCTCCCCCATGCTTCATGGTCTTATGGCAGTAACCTAAATCGAGGCGTTTTCCGGCCGGTCGACGTACACGGCAAATGCCATCGCTCCCAATGATGTTGAACTTCGATTCATCACTGAATAGGACAGTTTGCCATTTCTGCACATTCCAGTCAATATGAGATGTAGCAAACAGGAGTCTTTTCTTCTGGTTCTTTAGTGAAATCAGCGGTTTCTTTTCAGGGCGTTGAGAAAACAATCCAACTTCAATAGCACGTCGTCTGATTATTAGGTCCTATACAGGCAGCTCTAACTGCTTTTTTATCTCGACTGATGATATCAAGGGATCCTTCTTGATGGATCTGACGATCATAGAATCCTCTCTAGAGGTGGTGGAACGCGGTCTTCCACCTTTGTTATCTGCTGCCAACTTCCCTGCAGAACGATATTTGGAACATAGTCTTGATACGGTCCATTTTTTCACGCGATATTTATCACAAATACTTTTTTGTGACAATCTACTTACGTAATCGCCAACAATTTTCTTTCTCCAAGACTTTCAGGAGCCATTTTTGCACTTGAAGTCATAAAAATAATAAAAATAAATAATCACGCTTCTCAAGGCTTACCGTGTTACATTTACCTTGTGATGATACAATAATGCTCTGTGGAACACAACGCCTGGATGCATCCTTTAATTGTTAAAAAACTTCCGTGACGTTGACATGGACCAGACTTAAGAAAATGAAACAAACCAAAAAAGTTGCATTTGTTTTGTCCGCTGCAAAATGGCACTTTTCAACGGAATTCTGTCTGTGTGCTGTCACCTGTCAGCTGATTGCTCATGTCATGGTATGCTATGACTCCAGACTCCTGAACTGTTTGCTGTGGTAGTGTAGTTTGTTTCGTTTTTAAGACATGTAAAATTAGGAACACTTTTTAGCTTTGTTTAATGTTGGTTGCAAATGTTTTGCAATTATTTCTGTTATAAGGCTACATTAACAGACACCACCAATTAACTGCATATTTAGCTGAACCATGAACCAATTACATCAACTGCATATAAAGCTGACATATGATGGTTATGTAGAATTTTTCCAAACAATTTTCAGCATTATTTTTATTTTTATTTATTACTTAAGTTAATAACTTTATCTAGTTTCAAGTAACTTTAGTACTTACTTAAATAATTGTTGAAGCGAGTCAATTATCTAAGTAAATTTTTATTACTTAAGTAAAATCAACTAATTTCTTTTTTTTTTTCGAATTTAATCAAAAGGAAATTGGTGTTATAAAAATTTATATAAATCTTCAATTTTTTAAATTAATTTTTTCAGTTTAAAATTTGACGATTTCTTGGTTTTGTTATACCATATTTGCTGAAATAGATATTTTTTAGATATAATTAGACTATCCAAAGAAAAAAGAAGTTATTGGAGGAGACATTTTTAAGTTATAACAATTTACAACTTAATGTCTTTCTTACAATCTCAAAGATCATAAAGCATCTACAGTTAAATGTAAAGCTAATGTTGAAACTAAATAAACTTTACAAAAAAAATAGTATAACTGAAGAACTTCACCTTTTCTTAGCTAAAAATTCCAATTTAATAAAGAACAAGGCTTATTTAAATCTTTTGGATTGCATCAAAAAAAAATGGCTGAATTTCTGAAACGCGGTAGTGGTATAGTGGTAGATCACCTTGTTAGCGAGAGGTTTGGAGTTCCCACTAAGTCCTTGGAAGTACAGCATTTAACTTTTTTTTCTGCAGAGCAGTCTTGTTTGTCAAGGTTTGTGTTTTGGAGTTAGAATATTGAGAGAGGGTTATAACCACAATTGAAAAATGAAAATTTTTTTACCATTATTTGAACACCCCTAGTATTATCTTGATTATATAATTTCACAATCGAAATATTTTAAACAACAAAGAGCATAGTTTGTATGAAGGAACTCATAATGCAGCAGGAAGTACCACAATTAACATCTCTTTTATTGAATCAACTTTCAACCAAAAAAATTTGATGTTTTTTCTCTATTAAATCATTTTTTCATAACATAAAATATAAATCTATTTACTATGTGCAATTATTATTGCATATATGATTAGGACTATTGTAACTGTAATGTAAACAGTAACAGAAACAATAACTATTGTTATTGTATTAACTTTTTAGAAACAATATCAATACTTGTGATTTACAATTACTTTAATTACAATACAATAAAAAAAAATAATTTAAATACAATAAAAATAAATATTGTATTGCAATACATCCTCATAATACAATAACAATATCTGAAAAAAAAAGTATTGTAATGACCCACTACAATAACAATAAGTATTGTATTGTAATTCATCTTTATAATACAATTACAATTTATTGTTATTGTAATAAAAAAAAATTATTATAATGGTATCAAAGTTTAATAAATGTTTTAACAGCCCAGTCTCTGAGATATGTAAACTTAAAATAGGCTACAACTAATATATAAATATTGATTCTATTTCTATTTTATTTACTGAATATTAACTTTATATAGCTTTATAAAAGTGAGTTTAATATGACTGGTATTTCTTTCACTGCTGGAGATAGACATGATCAATATATTCTATACAATACAATAGTTATTGTAATTGTTTTACATCACAGCAATACAATAGTTTTAGAACTTCAATGTATTATTAGAAAAACAAAACAATACAATAGTTATTGTAATTGTTTTTATTTTTTTTTTCACAGCAACACAATAACCATAAATAATGTTTTAATTGCATCTCTGGTATTACAATACAATATTATTGCATTGTAATGTGTTATTGTATTAAATTTTTACAATTATAATTACAATAGTTGGAACCCTAGTTGCGTATGGGTCAGGGTAACAACATTTTTTTTTGCTATGTCTAATAACATCTGTTCAACAACATCTGCAAATACACTGAAGTATAATAACATCTGTCCAACAACTTTTGAAATTTCATTGATGTCTAACAACATCTGTGTAAAAAATATATGATTACTACAGATGTAGTTACATCTTTTTAATTATGTTAAGAATTACTACATCTGTACAACTACATCTGTACAACTACATCTGTGAATTCTACAGATGTAATTACATCTTTTCAAGTATATCAAATATAACTACAGGATTTTATGAAATTATTAAATTATAATGCATTATATTAACCAGAAATTGTTACATATAAGAAATTATTAAATTATAATGCATTATACTAACCAGATGTTGTTACATATAAGAAATTATTAAATTATAATGCATTATACTAACCAGATGTTGTTACATATAAGAAATTATTAAATTATAATGCATTATATTAACCAGATGTTGTTACATATAAGAAATTATTAAATTATAATGCATTATACTAACCAGATGTTGTTACATATAAGAAATTATTAAATTATAATGCATTATATTAACCAGATGTTGTTACATATAAGAAATTATTAAATTATAATGCATTATATTAACCAGATGTTGTTACATATAAGAAATTATTAAATTATAATGCATTATATTAACCAGATGTTGTTACATATAAGAAATTATTAAATTATAATGCATTATACTAACCAGATGTTGTTACATATAAGAAATTATTAAATTATAATGCATTATATTAACCAGATGTTGTTACATATAAGAAATTATTAAATTATAATGCATTATACTAACCAGATGTTGTTACATATAAGAAATTATTAAATTATAATGCATTATATTAACCAGATGTTGTTACATATAAGAAATTATTAAATTATAATGCATTATATTAACCAGATGTTGTTACATATAAGAAATTATTAAATTATAATGCATTATATTAACCAGATGTTGTTACATATAAGAAATTATTAAATTATAATGCATTATACGAACCAGATGTTGTTACATATAAGAAATTATTAAATTATAATGCATTATACTAACCAGATGTTGTTACATATAAGAAATTATTAAATTATAATGCATTATATTAACCAGATGTTGTTACATATAAGAAATTATTAAATTATAATGCATTATACTAACCAGATGTTGTTACATATAAGAAATTATTAAATTATAATGCATTATATTAACCAGATGTTGTTACATATAAGAAATTATTAAATTATAATGCATTATACTAACCAGATGTTGTTACATATAAGAAATTATTAAATTATAATGCATTATACTAACCAGATGTTGTTACATATAAGAAATTATTAAATTATAATGCATTATACTAACCAGATGTTGTTAAATATAAGAAATTATTAAATTATAATGCATTATATTAACCAGATGTTGTTACATATAAGAAATTATTAAATTATAATGCATTATATTAACCAGATGTTGTTACATATAAGAAATTATTAAATTATAATGCATTATATTAACCAGATGTTGTTACATATAAGAAATTATTAAATTATAATGCATTATACTAACCAGATGTTGTTACATATAAGAAATTATTAAATTATAATGCATTATACTAACCAGATGTTGTTACATATAAGAAATTATTAAATTATAATGCATTATACTAACCAGATGTTGTTAAATATAAGAAATTATTAAATTATAATGCATTATATTAACCAGATGTTGTTACATATAAGAAATTATTAAATTATAATGCATTATATTAACCAGATGTTGTTACATATAAGAAATTATTAAATTATAATGCATTATACTAACCAGATGTTGTTACATATAAGAAATTATTAAATTATAATGCATTATATTAACCAGATGTTGTTACATATAAGAAATTATTAAATTATAATGCATTATATTAACCAGATGTTGTTACATATAAGAAATTATTAAATTATAATGCATTATATTAACCAGATGTTGTTACATATAAGAAATTATTAAATTATAATGCATTATATTAACCAGATGTTGTTACATATAAGAAATTATTAAATTATAATGCATTATACGAACCAGATGTTGTTACATATAAGAAATTATTAAATTATAATGCATTATACTAACCAGATGTTGTTACATATAAGAAATTATTAAATTATAATGCATTATATTAACCAGATGTTGTTACATATAAGAAATTATTAAATTATAATGCATTATACTAACCAGATGTTGTTACATATAAGAAATTATTAAATTATAATGCATTATATTAACCAGATGTTGTTACATATAAGAAATTATTAAATTATAATGCATTATACTAACCAGATGTTGTTACATATAAGAAATTATTAAATTATAATGCATTATACTAACCAGATGTTGTTACATATAAGAAATTATTAAATTATAATGCATTATACTAACCAGATGTTGTTACATATAAGAAATTATTAAATTATAATGCATTATACTAACCAGATGTTGTTAAATATAAGAAATTATTAAATTATAATGCATTATATTAACCAGATGTTGTTACATATAAGAAATTATTAAATTATAATGCATTATATTAACCAGATGTTGTTACATATAAGAAATTATTAAATTATAATGCATTATATTAACCAGATGTTGTTACATATAAGAAATTATTAAATTATAATGCATTATACTAACCAGATGTTGTTACATATAAGAAATTATTAAATTATAATGCATTATATTAACCAGATGTTGTTACATATAAGAAATTATTAAATTATAATGCATTATATTAACCAGATGTTGTTACATATAAGAAATTATTAAATTATAATGCATTATATTAACCAGATGTTGTTACATATAAGAAATTATTAAATTATAATGCATTATATTAACCAGATGTTGTTACATATAAGAAATTATTAAATTATAATGCATTATATTAACCAGATGTTGTTACATATAAGAAATTATTAAATTATAATGCATTATACTAACCAGATGTTGTTACATATAAGAAATTATTAAATTATAATGCATTATACTAACCAGATGTTGTTACATATAAGAAATTATTAAATTATAATGCATTATACTAACCAGATGTTGTTAAATATAAGAAATTATTAAATTATAATGCATTATATTAACCAGATGTTGTTACATATAAGAAATTATTAAATTATAATGCATTATATTAACCAGATGTTGTTACATATAAGAAATTATTAAATTATAATGCATTATATTAACCAGATGTTGTTACATATAAGAAATTATTAAATTATAATGCATTATACTAACCAGATGTTGTTACATATAAGAAATTATTAAATTATAATGCATTATACTAACCAGATGTTGTTACATATAAGAAATTATTAAATTATAATGCATTATATTAACCAGATGTTGTTACATATAAGAAATTATTAAATTATAATGCATTATATTAACCAGATGTTGTTACATATAAGAAATTATTAAATTATAATGCATTATACTAACCAGATGTTGTTACATATAAGAAATTATTAAATTATAATGCATTATATTAACCAGATGTTGTTACATATAAGAAATTATTAAATTATAATGCATTATATTAACCAGATGTTGTTACATATAAGAAAATATTAAATTATAATGCATTATATTAACCAGATGTTGTTACATATAAGAAATTATTAAATTATAATGCATTATATTAACCAGATGTTGTTACATATAAGAAATTATTAAATTATAATGCATTATATTAACCAGATGTTGTTACATATAAGAAATTATTAAATTATAATGCATTATATTAACCAGATGTTGTTACATATAAGAAATTATTAAATTATAATGCATTATATTAACCAGATGTTGTTACATATAAGAAATTATTAAATTATAATGCATTATATTAACCAGATGTTGTTACATATAAGAAATTATTAAATTATAATGCATTATATTAACCAGATGTTGTTACATATAAGAAATTATTAAATTATAATGCATTATATTAACCAGATGTTGTTACATATAAGAAATTATTAAATTATAATGCATTATATTAACCAGATGTTGTTACATATAAGAAATTATTAAATTATAATGCATTATATTAACCAGATGTTGTTACATATAAGAAAATATTAAATTATAATGCATTATATTAACCAGATGTTGTTACATATAAGAAATTATTAAATTATAATGCATTATATTAACCAGATGTTGTTACATATAAGAAATTATTAAATTATAATGCATTATATTAACCAGATGTTGTTACATATAAGAAAATATTAAATTATAATGCATTATATTAACCAGATGTTGTTACATATAAGAAAATATTAAATTATAATGCATTATATTAACCAGATGTTGTTACATATAAGAAAATATTAAATTATAATGCATTATATTAACCAGATGTTGTTACATATAAGAAATTATTAAATTATAATGCATTATATTAACCAGATGTTGTTACATATAAGAAATTATTAAATTATAATGCATTATATTAACCAGATGTTGTTACATATAAGAAATTATTAAATTATAATGCATTATATTAACCAGATGTTGTTACATATAAGAAATTATTAAATTATAATGCATTATATTAACCAGATGTTACATATAAGATTTTTTTCAGATTTAATTACATCTGGAGGAAATTCTTTCAGACGTTATTGGACTTGGAGAAAAATTACCAGATGTAGTTACATCTTCCTAAAAATATTGTTAGGGATCATTAAATTTCCAGATGTTATTGGACAGAGGTTGTTTGAGTAAAAAAAAAAATACAGATGATCTTGGACAAAAATGCGCAGATGATCTTGAACTACTCTACAGATGTTGTTGGACAAATGAAGTAATCTTTTAAATTATATATTTATTAACGAAGAGCAAATAAAATTTAAGATTTCGAAAAAAGTATAAAAAAAGTTAGTAATACCATTGATAAAGTCTTTGATAAACGCATGAGTCAATAAATTAGGCCAAGACAGCCTTTCCCTGGGATCTTTTGTAAGAAGACCTTGCAAAAAATTCTAAATACATATTTTTTATAGATTGTAAGTGAAATAAAAGTTTTTCAAAACACAAAAAATTTACATCTTGCATAAGTTTATTCACCTTAAAATCATAGCTAATATCGTTGGGCCATTTAATTGGATCTTTCCTTATAAGACTGACAAGTTGAAATATACTATTTGTATAAAATGGTGGACTACCGACATAGAGCTCATATAATATGCATCCCAATGACCTAAAAAAATTTTTCACATTATTTCATTCTTTCTAAAAAATAAATGTAAATTACAGTAAATATTTTATTTAAGTTTAGATAAAAATGTAGAAACATATAAAACTAAACTAAAATTATATAAACTATTATTATTTAACAAAATTTTTACAAGTATTTTTAAATCAGCAATTGACCATACCATAAATCAGATGTATGGTCATATGGTTTTTCTTCAACTAATTCAGGAGACATGTATAATGGAGTACCCTATAATAATTAATAAAAAAACTAATTCATAAAAATATAAAAACCCCATTGTATATTCACAGACGCATATCTATATATACACTTTATTACAAACAAAATTTTAAAAGAATCTGCATAAAGACTTAAGGTAATAATTCTGCACACTTTTATTATATTATGGCAGGCCAAAAAAATTTATATTTTTGAATTTTGATTTAATATACTGCAGAAAACCTGCCTCTATCTAAAAAAAAAAAAAAAAATGAAAAGAATTCTAACATTTCATGTCTGCATATAGCCCAACACGTTTAAAAAGGCTACTTATTTTAATTGAATACTTATTTTATTGAATACTTAGTTTAATTGAGTAGAATAAACTAGCAAAATCACATGTTTTTATTACTTTTAAAGGTGATAAAAAAAACTTTCAAAACCAACATGTCATCATTAACTTAATAATGTAATAAGCATAAGACTTTTAGACACCACAAACATAAAAATAAATTTAAAAAACAGCCAATAAGTAAATCAATGACAACATTACCAATGTTATCAATTGGTTCAATTGATAACATTAGTAGCATGCGAGACAAAAAAATAATTGTTTCTTCATTCAATTCCTTTAAACAAAATTTTACCCATCTATAATTACTAAATAATGTTTTCTTTACCAATTAAAATAATGGTTGCTTGCAGGTTGTAGGAAGTAAATTTGTTTAATATACACAGACATACTCACACAAAAGTCAGACAAAACATTAAAGCATTAGAGTTTATGACTAAAAATGAAAATAAGTTTTGGTACCAGTTTTGGTACCTAGTATGCACATAGTACATATAATGAACAAGAGGTTTTGGGTAGTTTTTACATTAGAAGTAGTGCTACAATGACCAGAATTTTTTTTTTTTTTATTTATCTTTTTTCTAAAAAAATTAGTCATAAGTGCACATTTAAAACTCAAGTTGGCCAAATCTACTAGTACCATGCAATATATGTATAACAACAATGTAAATAAATATAATTCTCAACTTCTTTAAATACCCTGTTCATCATTGTATTCTATTAAAGGCGAAATAAGAGATTGATAGAGGTAGATAATGAAATAGTAAGTACAATAAAGAAAATCTTAACAAGTATCTTAACTAGATCGACTCCATAACAAAAAGACTTTTGTAAAGTTGTTTTGCAAAAGAAATTTTATTAAGCTTCATTAAAAAAATTATATATACAGCCCTCAGAATTAAAAAAAACAAGGTCAGCAAAAAATTGCAGACGTAAAACCATTTTAGGTTGGTAGCTCAATTTTGAATCAAGATTTGACAAATCAATAGGCTTACGAAAATTTAGCATAAAATTGACAAAAAAACACACAATGATTTTGCTGACTTTTCTTTCAAACCTAGATGTTTGCTTAAAAATTTAAAACATGAACAAAAATTTTGCTGACTTTATTTTAATCATTTTAATTAATAAAACATTTGTTTTTCCGTTTTTATTTTACTTGTTTACAATTAAAACAAAATTTATAATTTAAATAGAATGCTTTGCTTTATTTTAATTATTTTATGAGCAATTGAATTTTTTTTTTTACAATTACTCATAAGAGCAATTATTTTTTTTTTTTTTTTATATTATTTAATTTAGAACTTAATTGAAATGCTGTCACTGTTTTTATTTTAGTTATTTTATTTAGAAAATTAAATGATAAATTTGTTTGTGGTTCTTTTTTTTTAAATAATTTTATTTAGAATTTAAATAAAAATGTTCCTCCTTTTTGTTTTGTTTTTTGTATTATTAAATTTAATTGTTTTAAAATCAATTTGTTCAGAATTCAAATAACACATTTGCTTTGTTGTTTTTATTTTAATTATTTTATTTAGAATTTAAACTAAACGTTCTTTATTCTGTTTTTATTTCAACTATTTTATTAAGAAAACTAATGTTTGTTTCGCAGGGTTTTTTTTTTTTTAATTTTTTTCAGAATTTTTCATAAACGTTCATTTTTTTGTTTTTCATTAATTTATTTAGAATTTAAATAAACAATTTTGCTGTTTTTAATTTATTTGAAAAAGGAAATATAATAAAGTTTTAAAATTCTGAGGAAAGAAGAAAATTGCCGACCTCAGACACTTTCAGGTTGGCACTTAGGTTGGCATTGCTTAATGGCGACCCTAAATTAGAGGGCTGTATATATATATTTGTATGTATATATATATATATATATATATATATATATATATATATATATATATATATATATATATATATATATATATATATATATATATATATGAACAAATTTTGTTGAAAACTTATTTAAAAACATGAAAATATTACCTTGATGGAAGTCAAAACAAGTGTTTGAAAACTCATTGCTCTTGCAAATCTAAAGATTTTCAAAATATTTTCAAGTTTTTTTAAACAAACAATTTATTCTAAAATAATAAATATTTTATACAAGTTTATATTGACAACTAGTAATTTATACAATTAAAAAATTATTTATAAATGAAAATATTACATATTAAAATATATAATAAAAAAGGAAAAGATTAAAAAAAGATCTTAAAGTGGAAGATTTTTTGAGATTTCCAAAAGATTTGTTTTACAATAAAAATTCTGGAATAAATATTAAAAACCAGAAGACTTTACAGAGAAATATTAACAGACAAAAATATACATAATAAACCAATAAAATAACTACAAAATAACTTTTTGATTATATCTATTAGTAAATAACTAATCAATATAATCAAAATAAACGTTCATTTTAACTAAATAGATAGATTAATGTTATAACAGAATTTTATTTTGTACTTTATTAGTAGTAAATATTACCTTTATTAGAACATCTTTGCAATATTTATTTACAATTTTTTTAATTTTTTAATTAGAATAATTTCCAGTAAATGGAAGCTTGAAGTATTTTATATTTGAGTTTTTAACTAAGGTAGAAACAGATGGGTTCATTATTTATTGATAAATGATTTAATTTCAGAGTCAATAATTTGTTGCAGAAATTGATTATTTTGTTAAACAAAAGATTTTTATGTCTTTATCAAAAGACATAAAATATCTTGACAAAAAATGTCAAAATTTAAAGGGGTCCCTAAGTGCTCCTAACATATGATCTCATATGAAAGAGCATAAAAAAAAAATATGTGAGTTTTTTTTCTTTTTCACTAAATTGTAATAATAAATGCATGTTAACAAAAAGCAATTGCCAAAATCACTGAAAAACAACTCCATTTTGATTTTATTTTTTTACCATTGAAACTCGATCGTTAGTTGTTAAAAATCACGTTAGTACATCACAACAACTTTAGAATATCTACTTTAATTTTCAAGTAAAATAAAATCATGATTAAATAGTTAAGTTTTAATCAAGTTTTTTTAATTAGTTTTGCAAAAACAGTATAATAGAATTCGGTTGAAAGTCGTCATTAAAAAAAGTTATTAAGTAATAGTTTTAAATAGTTTAGAACTTATAAAAAAAGTCTTACAGGGCTCGTATTAAGCATATTGCGATCGCGATTGCTTTTTACACTTTCGTGATTAGTTTTTTCTTAAAAAAGATCTTTTCGCAATTTGTTTTTTTTTTTGGTTGTTTAATTACTTTTTTTCTTGCTTAGCATTTTTTTTAGCAATTCTTAAAAGTAATGTTTTTATCATAAAGAACGTCACCCAAAATTTATTATTAGATAGATGAATAGATGATTTGCTCATTCGTGCGGAAATTTTCTTTCAACGTAAAACACTTTTGAATTTAAATTACTTTAAATCTCTGTGTGAAATTTTTTTACAAAGTCATTAAAGCGAAAAGTTGAAAAGTTGGTTTTTATCTTTGTTTATTAAAACTTCATGTTTAAAATAAAGCTTAAAAACGTTAGAGCAAAAAAATTACAGACTTTTATTTGCATTTTTATACTGTTTGAAAAAAAAAAACAACTAATAAAAAAGAATTAATTATTATTATTAATTCTAATAATAATTAATTAAAATATTATTAGTTAATTCTTTTTTATTAGTTTTTTTTTCAAACAGTATAAAAATGCTAATAAAAACCAGCAATTTTTTTACTTTAACGTTTTTAAGCCTTATTTTAAACATGAAGTATAATTCGATTTATTAAACCAAATTTTTTTGTTTCATCTTTTATTGGAAAACTTGAAATATAAAAATTGAATAAAAAGATCAACCATTTAAATGAAAAACTTAATTATATTTAAACTTTTATTAGCCTTTTATTCAAGAAACAATAAATTATAAAAAACGTGGTATCTAATTTTTTATTAAGTTTTTGACAATGTTTTTTGATTTACTGGTGATAATTTCCCCCACCCCCTCCATTATCGCACATCGGCGCAAGCTATAAGAGAGAGAGGGAGGGGGGGTAAAATCGCTGCGTAAAAGAGCCTAATATCTCCTACTTCTGTTTTTAAAATATTTTTTGCGCTGCGTAATTTATGGACAATCCCTTGGTTTAATTTCTAATAAAATGTCTATTCGACCTTATCAATTTGAACCAAAAAAATATAGAAAAATTAACATAAATGTTAATTCAACTAAAACATTTTACAATAATTATTTTTTTTATCAAGCAAAAATGAGAGTAACCGCCACTTTTGAAACCATAAAAATGACTGAAATAAATTTATTTTTGTACTAAGGAAATATTTTAAATAAACTTTCATGTGTCTACATCAATACTCATTTGTTAAAAACTGACAAAAAAGAGTTTAAAATTTGACTTCTATTCATTTTTGGCCGTGGAATTGCCCTTATAACACAAATATATAAATAAAAATTATAAAAAAAAAATTTAAATTTAATTACCAACTCATAAGTTTGCAATAATGACATTTTGTCTACTTTGTTTAATTTGATGTACAAACGTTAGTGTTTTGAGGCAGTAGAGTCAATAAACTTTGGACAAGACGTATTTTTTTTAATCGAAGAAAAGCGTTTTTTGAAAACTAAATTTGTTAGTGTGTGTTCATTATTACGTTTTAGAAAAAATAATATACATCAAACATTTTTTTTTAATGTTTTTTCATTTGAGATCATATCTTTATAGCACTAGGGATCCCTTTAAAAATATTGTGTTATTTTTAAAAATATTTACTTATTTTAGGTTATTACAACATTCAAAAAATGCTCATCACATCAAATGGCTTGGGTCTAGTACTGCTATCCTTACCCTGCTGACACTAAAGTACATAACTTTCATATTTCTCAATCTCTTACTCAGTTAAATAACTCATTTTTTTCTTTGTAACTCATTTTTAAAAAAACCCTATATACATACCTTCGTTCCATAATTTGTGACTTGTCTCTGACTCTAGCTTCTATTCTGTTTCTCCTTGTTCTTCATTAGATCGTTTAAATCATGCTTTTATTTCACTAAATCTTTTATCTCCTACTTCTTCATCTGACACACCTATCATCGCACTATTTACTACTATATCTTAAACCTAACTGGGATTCTTTTTGTTATTTTCTTCACTGACAGTCCTTGGGCTGATGTCTTTCAACTCTTGGCTGATAACAGCACCTTTTACATAATTTCCTGTATCCTGGCAGGTACGTTAGCTTTTATTCATTTTCATTGGTTAAAAGGGATCCTCAAGTACCGAGATAAGTTGTGTTCATATTAAAGAAAATGTTTAAAAAAAATGTTTGGGCTAATGCACACCATTAATTTAAAAATTCACATTTTAGACACATACAATTTGTTTGTTTTAAAGGTTTAATTTTCTACATAATCAAGAAAAATTAAGAGCTATATTGTGTAATTATAAAAAATCACTTGACAAAGTTAAAAAATCTTAAATAATCTTTAAATTAATTTTTTTTAAATTAATGATGAACAGGGTATTTAAAGAAGTTGAGAATTATATTTATTTACATTGTTGTTATACATATATTGCATGGTACTAGTAGATTTGGCCAACTTGAGTTTTAAATGTGCACTTATGACTAATTTTTTTAGAAAAAAGATAAATAAAAAAAAAAATAATCTTTAAATTTAGTTATAAAATAAAACAGCAAATTTAACACTGTAAAATTTAAAACTTGTAGACGTGTTAAGTATTTAGTTAAGTAATTACCAAAGTCTTTTAAAGAAAATTTTTTTTCTTTTTATTCATTAAATAAGTTTTGTTTCAGACAATGTTTTAGTTACAATTTATAAAAACGATTGTTTTAAGCACTTTGTATTTCTTATTGTTCAATGATGCATGTTAAAAAATTATTTAATTAAAAAAAATCAGGTAACCAATAAAGTTCGTGCAGTTTTTCCTAATTCCTCTTTACTAACAAAAGTATTATAAGATAATCGTTGTGGTAAGGAGATAACTTTGTTTATAAATTGAAACTTGTTTTAAGGAGAATTAATCAGTGTATTTCATAAGTTTTATTAGTGCGATTTAAATTTAAAATTCTTAAGTTGAGTATGGCTGTGTCAAATGCGATAATTCGCGCCTGTTTACTTTATAAGTTTAAACGGCACCAAATCTGCAAAAGCTTGTGGTAAGATATGCGTTGCTTTTGGGGAAGGTACCATAGCAGAACGGACGGGTCAAAAGTGGTTCAAAAAATTTTCTTCTGGAAATGAAAACCTTGAAGATGAACCAAGATCTGGAAGACCATCTACTGTTAACAACGAGGATATCAAGCTGGTAATCGAGCAGGACTCCAGCCAAACATGTCAGGACCTTTAGTGATGAAACTATTCATTCACACTTGCACCAACTTAGAAAACGTTGGAAATTGAGCAAATGGGTACCTTATGAGTTGAGTGAAACAAACAAGCTACACCGCTTAACCATCTGTTCTTCATTGCTTTCCCGCTACAATTTAGTGCTATTTTTTGACTGGATGTTGACGTGAGGCGAAAAATGGATTATGTACTGCAACAAAAAACGAACATATCATTGGTTAGCCAGTAGCAATCCAGTACCGATGACTCCTAAACCACGTATTCACCAACAAAAGGTTTTACTGTGTGTATGGTAGACTACAGCAGGTATCGTTCGCTATGAGTTGCTACTAAGTGGACAAACCATTAGTGCTGAGATATACTCAGCCTAATTGGACAGAGTTTCAGTTGCTCTTCACTAAAAACAAGCAGCTTTGGCGAACAGAAAAGGTGTTGTATTCCACCAGGACAACGCCAGACCGCACATCGCAAAAATCACGCGGGAAACTCTAGCACGTTTACAATGAGAGAATCTACCTCACCCTCCGTATTCACCAGACCTTGCCCCAAGCAACTATCACCTGTTTTTGGCCCTGGATAATCATATGAGAAATCGACAGTTTTAAAATAGAGAAGATCTTGAAAATGAGTTGAATCAATTTTTTAGCTCCCAAACTCAAGACTTT